ATGGAAAGGAAACTTGGAAGAAACTGAATACATTAAGAGAAAGGGAAATTATTCTTCAAAGATATGTACAGATATTATGTAAATTACCCATCTGTTTACAATTTCAGCCTTTATTATAATTTTCCATTTCTATTTTCTCACCAGAATGCAAATCACTTAGTTTTTAAACTGAGTTTTTTGGAGTGTAAGACGAGTGTATTTCTGATCTCCACTTGCTCCCTGCATTAGTTCCTGCCACCTCTGATAATTTGTAATTATTTGTCTTTACATTACCGTTGCCGACATTTGAATTTGTTACGACGATAAAGTTACTGAGCTTAAAATGAAATGAAATTGTTATAGTCTTTGATCACTAGTCCATATTTTTAGTTTGAATTTGATTCTTCTTGATTAATTACATCATTACAAGCTGTAATTCATTTATTTAGCATTATAACATGCCTTTATGTTCCGAGTTCTTTTTAAATAAGAAGCTTGTTTAAATCTTTGTAGCTACTTTCAGACATAGTGATAATTTGCTTCACATCTGTCCAGAGGGTTTTGTACTATTTAACTTTTACTGGGCCAAGTAAACCCTCATATGTGCATTTTGTAGAGGTTGACAGGTTAGGAGCAAAAACACATAGAAACTAGTGAGAACATTGTCTTGTGTATTGAAACAAAGTTCTAACTGTTAGAAAAGATGCTTAAAGAGAAGGAAATTGATATAAATTAGCCAAAATGTCTGGGAATGTTCAAATTAAAAAGACGCATAATGTTTTGTTGAGTGTAGTTGCTACAAACAAAATATTTTACTTTTAAGTATTATCTAATATTTGATTCTGCATAATACAGTATTTTAAACATGAATTTTTGTACTTATTAACGCAACAGGCCAAAATTCGCATAAATCGCCAAATTTGGCGACCCTACTTACGGCAACCCTACGTGTTATACGTAGTTTTTCGTAAAGAAATTATTTTTCTTACTGGTTAGATTGAATGCCCTGAAATACTTTAACTATGGGTATTTGGGATCTGCCTGCGAGTGAAAAAGATGCTGTTGAATTGTTGCAGGGATATGGAATTATACCGAACGAACGTACTTGTAAAAATTCTCATAAAATGAAACTGTATTTTGGAAAGCAAATCTTCTGGAAATGTAACGTCGAAGAGTGCAATCAACATTTGGGTGTGAGAACCGGAAATTGGTTTGAAGGTAGCCGAATTTCATTTGTGACAGCGGTGCGCTTCATTTATTGTTGGTGTAAAGAGTTAACCTCAATTAAATTTTGTGCAGAAGAGATGGGAATTGCTGACAAAACTGTTATAGATTGGAATAATTACAATGGCGAAGACGGTTTTCAATCAGTGCTAAAAGCAATAGCCAAAAGATTTCCGCCGAAAAAATAATTCTGCAACTTATTCAAATTCGAAACCGGAAGGGTTTAATTGCTATTTTATATTTTAAAACAAAATAATATAAAAAACTGTATTAAAAATTATCTGTAATTAATAAATGTACATTTTCTTTCTATTCATACTTTTTTACTCAAACTTACAAATCGCGCCAACCTGGTTGCGATAATACGCAAGTACCATTTTATTCAATTGTGATTTAATGGAGCCTTTTATTAGCAAATATTGTTAAAAAAATTTAATTTAATTGTGCCCATGTAAATCCATAGTTATGAGGTTATCTAATACCTAATTTAATTACCAGGACTGTGGAGTCGGTAGGGAAAATGTCTTAACTCTGACTCAGAATCCCGGAATTTTAATAACTCCGACTTCACATATATGTGAACATATACATATGTTAACATACATTTATTTATTATAAAAGAAGTAATAGATGCTACAGAAAAAAAATTGATGCATAGCAAATTTTTTACATTAATTAGCATTTATTATGAAATGGAAAAACTGGCATTAGTAATTTCTAAGAAACAGTAAAACTTAAACTATATTAACTGAGTTATAACCCCTGGTTTTACTAATAGTTTTATGTTGAAAAAAAATCAACATAAAACTATTAGTAAAACCTAAATAAAATGTCACTTTTCTTCTTTCAAATATGTTCAATTATTATGAGTGTAAAATATTTAATGCTATTTGATAAATTTCAGAAAATTTATTTTATTCTCAAACTTTTTATGTTAATAAGTTTGTATGTGTACCAGACACAAATTTCAAGTACACATGCTCCTTTTATGCTCTTTTTCCGATTATACATTGGTATACAAATTAATCAGTTGTTTAGAATTTTAGACTTTACTATATAGTTTTCCCTTTCCTTTCCTTACCATAATTCAAATCGGATAGAGATTTTTTGGATTGTAAGACAATGTTTTTGCCCTCCATTTGGATGCTGCCTTAGTTTCTGCCAGTTCTGATAATTTGTAATTATTCATCTTTGCATTATTGTTGCTAATATTTGAATTTTGTTACTCTGATAAAGTTACTGAGCCACCTTAGATTAAATTTAAATTGTGTAGTCTTTGACTACTAGTCCACATTTTTAGTTTGAATTTGACTGTCCATCATCACAAGTTGTAGTTTATTTTGTCAACATAAGAACGTGCCTGTATGTTCAAAGTTCTTTTTAAATAAGAGCTTGATTTAAATCTTTATGTGATGCGGTAGTTACCTTCAGACAATGATTATTTGCTTCAAGTCTATCAGAGGTTTTGGATTATTTAACTTTTACCAGATCACATAAAACCTCTTGGCAAGTTAGGAGATAAAGCACGCAGAAACTAGTGGGAACATTGGTTTGTGTATTTAAACAGATTTCTAAATGTTTTTAAAGAGAAGAAAATTTATATAAATTAGGCAAAATGTCTGGGAACACTTAGAATTAAGAAGACTCATAAATATTTTGTTTTGTAATTTTTAATGTGCAGTTATCCTAATACTGTTTAAGAATCAGTGTCATAAATTACATGTAATTTAAACTGTGAAGTGTTATTAGATTGTGATTTTAATAGCGGTTATGTAAATCTATAATGACTAAGGATATTTAACTACCTAATTTAATCATTTATAACTAACTGCTCATCTTTTAAAGTTATCTCTGCGTATTAAAGCAAGTTCTAGCTTTTCATTAATCATTACTGTAGCCACAACATACAGCACAAAAGTGTAATTCTTTGCATATAGTGAGACTTATTGAGACTTAATATAAAACAACTTATCACCTCTGCTGCATTAATGCCTTATTGGAACCTTAAAATATATTAACCAAGTTACAAGCCCAGAAACTATATGAAGGTACAACACTAAATGCTTCAGACAGACGAAGCACAACTAACTTTCAAAACTTGCCAACCGTGCCTACATCAGGCTTTCAGGATTTTTCTGATCACCAGGTCTCTCTCTCGGCAAGCAACAGCTAATCTTCTGTTACGAATCATGCTGATTATGATTTTATTTCTCATTTTAACTTATACCATTCGACATAAAATCTACCTGCTATTTACTAAACCTCTAGATTGAGTAAGTACATGGCAAAATGAGACATAAAAGAAAAGATCAACATAAATCTGTTAATAAAATGTTCTTAATCTTCCTTCAGATATGTCCAACTATTATATGTGTAAAATATCCAGTGCTTCTTGATAAATTTTATAAATGGGATTCTATTTTCAAATTTATTTTATAGTTATTTTAATAAGAATGCTTCCTATTTACAGATCTATTTTATTTTTAGAATGTTATTACAAAAGTGAAGTTCAGATATAAGCTGATTGATTTTAATTTATTTAGCTCTTATTTGCTGATAGGTCCTTAATTTTTTTCATTAATGGTCCTTAAAAGTCCTTAATTTCCATGTGCAGAAATGTGCACAAACTCTGTGTGTACCTAATGTCATTTTATCAATCCAGGTACTGCACCAGTGTGATATGAAGAATCCAAGCTTCTAACATTCATTCCTCAGTCTTCCACTCACGAATATGTGATTTTGATGTTGTGTGCAAAAGCAGTTAATCAGAGATGCCATTAGGCCATTGTCTCATTTAATGTATCATTGTAAGCCCTTAATTTCAGTAGTATAGCATCAAGGGAAGCCAAAATAGTGATTCCCTTTTTGATGATCCAGGAACCTCTGAAAGCATATGTGCAGATACTTACTACTGTAAAACATATTCAGTTTCATAATACATGATGTTAGCTGTGTAATGACTGATAACAGTGCAAGCAATTACTGATAAGTCTTGTTAGACATTGATGAGCAAGAGTCTGTTGAAATCGTGCATGATTCTTTGTATATAGAGGTCAGAAAAAATTTCTTAGTTTCTTATCTGAAAAAAGTGTTGAAATTTTTGTGTAGTAAGAATAAACTTTGTATGAGTAAAGGTAGATGGAGTGAATTACTTGCATAACTCGGAATTTGTGTAATAGCTAAAAGATTTATTTGTTCTTGGTGCATATATGTAAGAAAAGTAATGTAAATCAAAATTGTAATTTAAACTAGCAGTAATCCCTTAATTCCCCCCCTCTCAGTTTGAAAAATTGTAATAACTTTTCCCGACTGTTTCATTTTTAGATCAATCCAACTTGCATAATGTTGATGACTTGGCTAACTCGGAACCTGAACTCAAAATTTCAAGAATTGAAACTTTTCTAATCTAATCCAATTCAAAACCTTTAAGTGCCTTCATATTGGATAATTGTTCACTTTAAGCTGCAGCTCTCCTCCATACCACTTCGCTCTGTTTGCTTTGTTGTGCGACTAACTATTGTGCCATGATACTGCATGCAATGTGTATTGCATGCATGATCATGTGTGATGAATAATGTTTTTTATAATTAGTTCGTATCAACCAATAAAAGTTGTATTCAATTCGGCGATGTCTGTCTACAAGTTTTTCCTTTGAGTGTCATCTTTCTAACTATGCAGTCTCACCAGGATATGACGCAAAGAACCATCATCAATCTATTTTGTATGGGGAAAATGTATTATTGTTTAATTTAGATAATATATTTGTAGCATTTTTCATTTATATTTTCTTTTAATAGGTTTGGACTCGCAACCACAAGGAGGTTCGAGGGATTTGTACATGCAGGCTTATTGCATTTGATAAACATTGGAACCTTCTTGTGCAAGATATTGATGAAGTGTACATCAGACCAAGAAAAACTAAAACACCTTTTCTTCGGGATATTGGCCCAAATGAAAATATTCCAGAGATGCAGCCGAAGGTGCCTAAGCAACGCACACAGCCTAAACCAGATGAGGAAACTACTGTTAAAGCTGACTCTGATAATCAAAATGCTGATAAATCTGGATCTGAGAAGAAGAAAAGACGCAAAAGGAAGAAGCCAGGACCTATTTCTGAACGGCGTCATTTTCCTAATTGTTGTGTTATCAGAGGTGATAATATTGTTATGATTTCTCCTGTGCTTGGGGTGGTAGAGGACTAATGAAATTTGGATACACAAATTTCATGGCTGTAAATTCCTGTCCTCTCATCATTTCATAATCATTTGATGTCATGTTTAGGCACTCATGCCTATTTTTTTACATGAAAAGTTTTAAAATATTTGATATCAGTTTATGTAAAAATTGAGTTATTATTGTCATCGTTGCATCATTTCAGTAGAATTTTTTTTTTCGTGTATGGTTTATTTCATCTAAGATAATGATGAATATAATATTGTCTTTTGGATTATGAAGCCTTTTCAATAAATGTTTTTTCCTTTTTAGTTTTGCCTATTTATTAATATGAACTCTTAAAACTAATACATTAATATATTTTATATCAGGGTTTCTCAATTGGGAGGAGGGGTGAGGTCAACCTTTATAAAATCTTTTGAAAAGTCTGAAGTAAAGAAAGAATAAATCGATAACTGCTAAGAAAATAGTCTTTACTAAAAGACTTTGTTCACCTTTCCCCCTACAGAAAATATTTTTATCTACCTTATATCTGATACAATTGCATAGTTCTACAATTGACATCCTAATAATGGACTGCTGCTTTCCCTTTTGTATAGAATTACTTTTTTGTCACTTTTCTTTGATAGCAACATGTATTATCAGGAGTGTCCAGTTTTCAGGTGTTTGAACATACTATGCCCTTTCACCGCCCGCTCAGCCACATATCGTCCGAGACACCGGCTCGGTTTCGGCCGAGATTGACGCGGGGGAATATGTGCACTTTTCTTAAATTCTGGTAAAATTGTATGCTTCGTGTTATTGTAGGGTAACAAAATTTAATAAAATCTTTTACTTTAATCATATTAGTGTTAAACAATATTTATTTTATCTATTGCAATCGTTTTCAGTTTTATTATTTACATAAAATATACCATAATCCATATAACAATATTTGTCAAAAAAGGAAGTTGTTTAATATTTTTTAAACTATGATAGCGCTCGAAGCAGTCACCTTTGTGTAGTGGGATGTTGCAGTATTTGCAACCGAAACCTGTTCTGCTTAGTTTTTTTTACTTGCACAAACTCTGCATTGTTGTAGGGGTTTTTTACATTGACCGCTGGTCACTATATTTACTAGTTTATGCTTTCCGAAATTTGCCTGTCTTCCGGGATGTGGTTCTTCTGGGTTCGGAATTAGGTAGATCCTTACCTTGTTCTTCAATTTCGCAGTCTTCTATCAATGAAAGTACCGCTTTGTGCAGAAAATTTTTATATGTAATCTTCTGTCCGTTCAGAGTTGTATATACTTTAAAGGAGTTAAAAAGTGCACAATTGATGAAGAACATTACGACACGTTTCGTCCATTTTTTGTTTTTCTAAAAATGGTCCTAGGACAGATATTGATCTGCGCGATCTACGCCCTTCATATATTTATTATTGAAATAGGCTTCTGTATGGGGTAATCTGATGTCCTGCTTCTGTTTCTAGATTCCGCCATTTGTGCAGAATGTATTGTTGATATCATGTTTACATTTCTTTTCCCATTATTCCATACTTGTAATAAAATATTGCCATTTCTAAGAAATTGATGTTGGCATCTTGAAAACTTGACTATTTGAAGTATTTGAGGAAGACCTCTGTTCTTTCGAATCGTCCCGCACATTCGCAATTTATTAAAAAAAAAAAATTTTAGCTATGTTGACATTATTAAAATAATTATCTTGGTATATATGGTGCCACATGTTCTTATACGGTCCAATGACCGATAATACTGTCTCTTCTAATTTTTTTTCATCAGCTGGCATACACACAAAAGTTGGATACATATCCTGTACGAGCTTCAGACAGCACTCTAACCAGTATTCCAGATTTTGTAATTTTTGCCAGATTATATGTTTTGATTGACAGTCTACCTCTCCACGGAATTAAACATTCATCTAGAGACAATTGTTGATCTGGTTTATATACGTTGTTAAATTTTTTCTTGAAATAATCAGTGACAGGCTGGACCTTCACCAGCCTGTGCGAATTGGGAGAAATATCGTTATTATTACAAAAATGCCAGCTTTGCATTATTTGTAAAAATCTGTTCCTACTCATAACCTTTGAGAAGAACGGCATAAATACCATATACCTTAATTATTGCATTTAAAAGTACTTTTGTAAATAAATGCTTTCCTTTATGTCTGAATTTTCTCTGTATAAAAGCATAAGATAATAGTCTAAGAATATAAAATTCTCAAATAAATGCTAAAATAAATCAGTTTGGCGAACCTTCGAAATGTGTCGCCACGCAGTATGAAAAAACGGATTTTCTACAAATAATCTGGTGTTCAAGGTTGGCAGCTATGAATTGTCATTAATATGTTGTGTGCATGGCAAAATTGGATGTTGTAATACTTTCTATTAGGAAAGTATTAGATAGCATTCAAATGTGATTTAAGCAAACGTAAATATTAAAATAAAAGGGAATTGAAAAGGTTTTTATTACTACTATGTTATAGCTGCTAACTCTCAACATTCTCCTCACAGATGGCCAATTCAAATAAAAATCTTAATTTTAAGTTTTTACCAAGTTTCTTCAGCTATAAAATAAGTTGCACAAATAAATTTGCACATTTTTAAGTTTGATTAATAAAACTTAGGTAGTCTAAATTCCATTCCTATGATCTTCAGCATAATGTATTTTATCTGAACTGTCCTAATTTGTAATACTTTGAAGATTCAGTGAATGTTTAATCAGTAAATAATTATATTTCCTTCTATACTATGAAGGTATGTGGAAAGGAATGAGAATGTATCTTGCAAATATGTTAGCACAATAGTATGCATATTAATTAATTTTATCATATTTTAAAGTATTTTGATAAAGCTTTCTTTTTCCATTAAAAGTTTTTCTCTGATACGTGTGACATTTTAGATCTATAAATGAGCAGATTTGCACTTGAAGTAATTTAATAATGCATTTCCCTGAAAAAGCAAAGTAAGTCAATCTTTCAAATATCTAAAACTAAGGGCAAACTTTTATGCTTATCTAATCCACATTAGAAACTTATTATGAGTCATAATCCCACTCCTCAATAGAAATCCAAAAATTGAGGTTCAAATTGGTTTGCTGTTCCTTTATCTGCAGAACCAGCTTGTCCCAAAATTTTACACTGTGAAAATGCTGAAAGTTGTCAAGTTTACGTTTTGGCTTTCTTGAAAAACCACTTTCCATAATGTTTGGTCATCTTTATTTGAAATGAATCTAAAGCTTGGGTTTTGAAAAGGAGTTCTATCTAGCTTGTTTAGGGGATCATCAGTGTATGCTATTAATAAATTTTCTATTTTTTATAAGTGGGGAATTTTTTTAAATTTGGCATTGTTTTGCACAGTTGCCAAAGTATCGCCTAAAGCTTTGTAATAAATTCTTGTTTGTTTTCCTATATTCTTGTACTTGTTTGCAGCTAGTTCTCTTGTAATCTATGAAATACCATTTTCCAGCTTGCTAAACTTTCAGTTTTCTGAGATAATGTCCAATTATCTTGCTGCTTTCTCATTTCTATTCTTTCTCTGGGATGTCGTATGTTTTTTTTTTTTATTATTTTATTTACTTTATTTATTTATTTATTTATTTTAGAAATGCAAAAGGAAAGGAAGATAAATGTGTTTACAGCTATGCTAATGTGAGTGAAATAATTACAACTAAGCTGGATTACTCGGTAGCTACTAGATACTAGCCTGTGTAGTTTCTTGTAGAAAGTATGCTGCTATGGCAGTGCTCTGGAGCATAACTATGCATGAATAAAATTCTAGCATTGCACAAAATTACGTGGGAGCAAAAGTTATTGTAATATAATTTTGAAGACTTATGCTATAGTATAACGGTGAAAGCTTGATTTAGTGGGAATAGCATATTTCCATCGTTAATCTTAGCTCATTTGTAAAAGGAAAAAATAATCGATTATAAAAAATGCTGTTAACAATTTATCAGATTTCAAGGAACTTTAATCTTACCTATATTAAACCAATATTTAAAACAACAAGGACTATTCAGTAGAAATAAAAGTAGCATTGAAAACAGTATTTGCAAGGGAGCTTGAAACAGTATCACGAAGCCTTGTTTTATATTTTAAATTGATTTAAGACGTGGTTTAGTGATAATTAATGTACTGTTGTGAATAGAGACAACTCTTAAATATTACAGCATTTATTATCCCATGGATGTTTTGTATTATCCAGAGTTTTGTGCTGAGAATTACTTTTATAGCCATTGTTTCACAATAAAATTTTTTAAGAGAGCCAAGTTGATTGCTTGTTCATAAGTTTTTCAAACTCTTATTATTTTTAAGCTCTTCTGTTTTTGAAATGGTTGTATGATTAATATTTGTAGGAAGTTATGAACTATTTTAAACTTTTTCAGAATGAAGTCTCTCTTAAGATTTTGTTTATTGTGAAAACATTACATGGCATTACAGAGGCTGTTTGCACATTTTTTTAGACATCTTTGCTATTAAAAAAATTGCTTGCTTGGAAAAAAAAAATTTTAACTGCAACAACTATATATTTGAAAATGTAAATCCTACTTGTAAAGTGTAAATCTATGCAAAGTGGCACTTTTAAAGAAGCAATAGATGGAAGGCTATGTTTGTGCTCTTTCTGAAGAAAAATTATTAGTATTTAATTACCGTATTTGACGGCATATAAGACGCACTTTTTTTCCTAAATTTGGTTTCAGAAAAGTTACCTGCGTCTTGTATGTGAAGAACAGGTTAACTTTCAATACTGAATGCTATTTTTAACCCGGGTAAAGGTCTAGACAAGCATAACTTTTTCTACATCTGCCATAATTATTTTGAGCATGCGTGAACTATCTGTCGCAAAAAAGCGCCAAAGCTCGAAGCTGATGTCGAAGTTCGAACAGGTTCGACGGTCACATTGCGTCTATGAAGCCTTTCCTTCTTTACATAGGCTTTCTTTGACTCAGCCGACACACGTGTCGGTATCGGTGCTTAAAACTATTTGTTTAAAAAAATTAGCCTGGAAAATATGACTACATTAAGCTATACAATTCAGTATAAACTAGGAGTGCTAAACTATGCCAAAGTGCATGGAAACAGCAAGGCATTTCGGTCCACCACCTATTGAAAAAATGATACGTACTTGGCGACTGCAGGAAGTTCAATTGAAGACTTCTAAAAAACATAACCTTTGATGCCCAGCTCCATCTTGGCCTGAACTTGAAAATGCTGTAAAAATGTGGGTGATAGATCTTGGATAAGTGTTTCAACTAAAATGATAATCAATGAGGCCAAAGGATTTGCAGAAAAACGTGGGAATCAAAACT